CCCAAGAGGTTCAGGTTTTCCAGTCTCCAAATATTCCTCAAAAATTTTATAAAAAGCTATGCCTTGTTTCATCTTTTAAAACTTCCTTAGATAATTCTCTCCAAATGGCCTTAATAATTCTATAAAAATAGCAGGCCTGGTAGTCTCCAAACATTCCATAAAAACCTAAGTCGGGTAGTCTCCACACAACCCCAAAAAAGTTCACGTATTGTAATCTTCAAATTACCTTCGAAAACCCTTGACTAGTTGTAGCCTAATCTCCCTAAATTTTTTCTAAAAAATTTCCATGTGGCTCCTTAATATTTCCAGGTCTAGTAGTCTCCCAACAACCCTCAAAAAGTTTATATATTGTGGTCTCCAAACTTCCGTTAAAAACTCCCAAAAAAAATCGTTGACTTGTAGTCTACTCGTATCTCTTACAATTTTTCTACAAATCAAGGTCTAGTTGTCTCCAAACATCCTTCAAAACTTCCTTGGAAAATCCTTGTCTGGTAGTCTCCAAACAACCCTCAAAAAGTCAATGCATTGTGGTCTCCAAATTTCTTTTCAAAAATACTTGACTAATATGTCCCTCAAATTTTCCTAATTAATCCATGGGCGATAGTCTCCATAAACATTCCAGGACTCATAGTCTCCAAATATCCCATAAAAACAAAAGTATGGTAGTCTCCAAACATCCCTTTAGAAGTCCCTCAAAACATCATTTAAAACTCCACTTCCTATAGTCTCCGATTATCCCTTAAAATTCTTTGCGAATCTGGTAGTCTCTAACTAACCCTTTAAAATCCCTCAATAAATCGAAGTTTGAAAAACACCTTCAAAATTCCATATCCTGTAGTCTCCGAATATCCCCAAATTTTTGAAAATTACACGCCTTGTAGTCTCCAAATTTTTTACAAAACATTCCAAAAGGTTCAGGTTTGTCAGTCTCCAAACATTCCTCAAAAATTTTATAAAAAGCTATGCCTTGTTGTCCCCCAAATATCCTTAAAAACATCCTTCGAGGTGTTAATTTACTGACCAATGCTCCCCAAACTTCCCATACAACCCCCATATCATCACCTACTCTTCCACAACTTGTTTCATAGACGTCTGTTTGGAATGTGTGTCCTGGATGATAGAAGTCGAAGGGGTGGGGTATGGTGAGGTGTGCATGTGTTAAATTTCAGGAGGCCATTCGGAACGTGCCTTGAATTTTCTTTTCGATTATTTTTCGTTTCGTTTCTAATGAGTTTTTGTTGACTTGCTAGGATTTCAGTGACAAATTATGTGCCATAACTTTTGGTGGGCATAACAAACTGAGGATTATGTGACAGGAGAAACACCCAGCCACACAGATGGGGCAGAACACAAGACAAAAATAAAACAAAAAGAAAAAATACAACAACAAAAAAATAAATGAAAATGTTGGCATTATTTCAGTGGCCCCACAAAATAAAGATGTTTCCAATTTTCCAGGAGTCCTTTCAGTATGGCATTGGGGCAAAAACTAAATGAAATATTAGTCGAAGTGACAATTTTTGTGGATATTAATTAAAGAGAGAGTGAGAACGGGACGGGTTGTGGTTCGAGGAGGTGTTTTCGACCAAAGTTTTCTCATTAAAAAATCTCAAAACGCATCACCATGACTGCGAATTGGAAAAGTCACAACCGTCGCTAGCCATCTGTGTGCCATTGTGGCAATGGAACCACAAAGTTTTTCGCGTGCACTTCCCGAAAATGTTGACTCTAGTTGCGAGGTTTTCTAGCTTTAGCTCTGCCATAGTGCTTTGGATAAACATTTTCATTTGCAAGCTAAAACCACATCATTAAAACTTCATTTGTCATCAGCCGTGATGGCATCACCATTCCACGCCAACAAAGAAGTCAAACAAATCCATTGCCACAGTTCAGTGAAAAAAGTTTGGATATTTGCCTGGGTCACACACAAAAAGCTACAGAGTTGAGAGGTTAAGTTCGGGTTTGGAGGGAAAGCAATGCACCATTCAATGAGGCGGTAGCGATGATGATATTGCCAAAGTTTGGGGTAAACACGATTTTCTGGGAGGAAGATATGATGCGCAAGAGGTCGAGGATTCCATGGGGTAAGTTTGAATAGATAACAATCCGTTTGTATATCTTAAATCAAATTTTATAAAAAAGTTTCTTAGAAAATACATTCTAGAATTGAATAGAATTCAATCATGATAACTCCTGAAACGATGGTCCTTCGAGAAATGCCAAGAAACAATATATAGCCAGCAACAAAGTCTTTATGGAGGGATTAAAGGAAATCACTACGGAGAAAGTGAAGCAGTCTTTTCAAATTGATTTTTGTGTAAATCGAAAACTCCCCTCAATAGGTATAGAAAAGGGTGGCCGCGGTGGTGCTGATGAAGTGTACAAAGTTTGAGATCAATAACATATTCAGGAAGCTAGATAAGACACGCGGGAGGTCGAGGATTCCATGAGGTACACTTAAGTATATGACGACAAGTTTTTATATCTAAAATCAAATTTAATTACAGTTTTTTTTTTAGAAAAATGCATTCCAAGCTTCAAGAACATTCAGATCCTGATTCAGCAAAAAGTAATGGCTCTTCTTGGAAAGCAAGAAAGTGATACAACCAAAAATAGAGTCTCTGAAGACTTATGAAATAAAATCACTACGGAGGAAATAAGCAGTTTTTTTAGTGAAGTTTTATGCAAAACGAAACCATCTCACAATATATGGCAGAAAAAGTGGCCGCGGTGATGCTGATGAAGTGTTCAAAGTTTGAAATCAACATCATTTTCAGGAAGCCAGATATGCTACACGGGATGTCGAGGATTCCATGAGGTAAGCTTATATAGATGACGATGAGATTGTTTATCTTAAATCTAATTTAATTTAAGAATATTTTTGCCAAAATGCATTCCAAGCTTTAAGAACATACAGATCACGTTTAAACATAAAGCAATGTCCTTCGAGCAAATCAAGAAAGTGATATAATCGAAAAAAGAATGTCTTTCGATGATGAAAGGAAGTCAGTTACCATGAAGGATATTAAGAGAGCTTTTCAAATTTATTTTTATGGAAATCGAAACCATCCCACAATAGATGTGAAAAATGGTGGCCGCGGTGGCGCTGATGAAGTGTACCAAGTTTGGGAAAAACAATATTTTCAGGGAGCTAAATATGCTACGCGGGAGGTCGAGGATTCCATGAGGAAAGCTTGTACAAATGACGATCACTTTGTATATCTTAAAACAGATCTTAATTCAAATTTATTTTTGGGAAAAAATCATTCGGAGCATAAATAACATTTAGATTATGCTTCAGCATAAAAAATGGTCCTTCGAGCAACGGAAGAATGTGATATAACCAACAGAGTGAAGGGAAATCACCACGAAGGAAATTTAGCAGACTTTTCAAATTGATTTTTATGGCAATTGAAAACTGCCCTCAATGGATGTGGAAAAATATGGTCGCTATGGTACTGATGAAGTGCACAAAGTTTGGAATCAACAGCATCCTCAGGGAGGTAGATATGTCAGGCGTGTGGTCGAGGATTCCATGAGGTCCATTTGAATAGATAACAAGAAGTTTGTATATTTTAAAACAAATTAAATCCCATTTTATTTTGGGAAAAATTCACTCGGAACTTAAGTAACATTTAGGCCAGCATAAAGTAATGATCCTTCAAGCAAAGCAAGAAGGTTATATAACCAAAAACAGAGTGTCCTTAGACATATGAAAGAAAATCACCATGGAAGAATCGAAGGAATCGAAAACTTCATTCAATAGATGTGGAAAAAGGTTGCCGCGGTGATGCTGATGAAGTGTACCAAGTTTGGGATCAACAACATTTTTAGGAAGCCAGACATGCCACGCGGGAAGTCGAGGATCTAACGACGCTTCCTTGGGAGATGATAAAGAGTTTATATACTTTGAAGACAATTTTAAAACATCCCTCAATACACGGGGGAAAATGTGGCCCCAGTGATGCTAATGAAGTCTAAAATGTTTGGAATCAACTCCATTCTCAGGGAGGTAGATATCCTACGCGGGAAGTCGAGGATCAAACGAGGCTACTTTGGGGAGATGACAAAGAGTTTATGTACCTTGAAAGAAATTTCAAATGTCAATTTTTTTGGGAAATTTATTGGAAAGTTAGATAGCATTCAGATCATGATGTAGCAGAAAACAATGATCTTCCGAGCACAACAAAGAGGCAATATATCCATAAATAAAGATTATATCTGAACGAATCAAGAGGAATCTGATTTGAGGAAATTGAGCAGATGTTTGAATGAAAATTATTTGTAAATCAAAAACTCGATGAGAAAGTGGTCCTTCGAGCCCAATAAAGCAAAGAAATCCTTCAAATGGTTTGCTTTTCAAGCCCCCAATAAAAATAAGAGATCATTGCAATAGACCCCTGATCGCTAGAAGATAACTAAAGGAGAGAAATGGAAGACCTTATTAGTGGTGAGAAGGTTAATCTCAACGACAGAAGAGAATAGCCTTTACTCTCCCCTACTTGAAACCGTTTTTTAGATCTCAGGAAAGAAAAGAAAGAAAGCTCTAAAAAGTCATACTCTTCAGCTTATTTCTGGGATCAGTTAATCTTAGAGCCTTATTTTCCAGACCAATCTTCTGCAGTTGAGATTAACTCTCTATGTGGTCGGACAGGAATTTATATTCCTTTTTTCGCTAAACTATCGTCTTCCAATTGATTGATTGGAAGCCTCCTTAGGCGACAGAGAAGCAGTATTTTTGAAATATCCGAAAGAATGCATCCATTAACTTCTGGTTTTGGCCAGAAATCGAAATCATTTAACTAAAAATCCAAGTGGATTAAAAGTTTTCTTGACATGAGAAATTCAAAGTTCCCAAATGTAACCTGTTCCAATTTTGTATTCGAATATACTCTCTCCCCCAGCTTTTCACTTTGCCATTTGACAAGTGATTTTCCCCTCTCCCCAAAATTCCCCTGAAAATTAAAAACGCAAAACAAATATTGAAACTTTTCACTTACCGTAAATAAACAGCTGGCAACGCAAACCGCAGCCCATGAACCAACCCAATACCTGAGAACAGTGCGTTCTTTTTCGGGGAAGAACATGGCATGACAGGGAGCACCACAGTGGAGTTTTTCCTGTAAGAGAAGAAGAAGAAGGGAAAAATGAAAAATCAATTAGAAACGGTACACGTTCATGTGAAGTTGGCAAAATTTATAATTCAAATTCAAAGAAGTAAAAGAAAAGTTGTTGTGCTACGCAGATTTTTTTTAAAAAAACCAGAGCAGTATTGCCATGGGGAACAAGCTCATGTTATATTGTATGCTTTGGAGGTTAATAAATAATGTGTCGTCCTTGATGTATTTTTATGTGCTGTATCCTGGCCCGCTAGCTTTTCTTTTTGCCTGTCAAGGGAATTCGTTAACAATTTTGAAATTCCATTTCATTTCGGGAAAGGGGGGAAGATCTGAGATTTCTTCGTAAGCACGAGTTGCAAATGTTTTTCGTCCTATATCAAGGGGGGAAATTCAAACATGAGAAGAGAGCTCATTAAAATTTCAAATTTTCCTTTTGCAAAAAAATCAAAGAACAAGTAAAAAATAGCAAGTGAAAACATAAAGACTTGGGAGTTGAAAGAAATGGAAAGTAAAGAAAAACAAGAATTCATATCAGCAAAAAAAACGATGTGAAATGTAAAAGAGATTTTCTTCTCCTTTGAAAGCTGGTATCTAATATTCATTTTACGTCGTATTCATAAAAGCAAGTCAACATGGAATGCCATAAAAACTAAAGCCACCCCCTCCCCATTAAAGAGTTTCTTTTCAGAAACGTAAAAAAACGAAAAAAAGAAAGGAATCTGAATCTGTTTGCCAGACAATCAAACAGACGCACATTAAGTCTTATAATACTGGCCCATTAAGCCTTCCAAGGGCGTCAACGTGTGGCTGGCTGGCTGGCTGGGGTGTGCGTAGACAATAAAAAGCAATTTAGAAAATTCTGTTCTTCCTTTGTCCTGGTATTTACTTTTGATAAAGTGTAAGTACTCTACTTCTTTTTTTGTCTGCCGTAACGGAAGGTACGAAACATAAACACAGGTATTAAAAGAGAGAGGGGAGAGATAAAAGTTAAGATTGGATATGATTTTTAATATCCATAAATAAAAGATTATCAAGATGGAAGGCTGGGAGGCAATGAGAAGGGGGAGGAAGATGTTAGGGGGAGAGAGAATAAAAACCTATTAGAAAAATTGGTAGTTATCCGTGGCTTTGATGACCCATGGCGAATGCGAAACGATGGCCAGCCATTAAAATGTCAGAAGGTAACAATAGTTTTGGATCTGGGTTTCCGTTTTCTAAAATTTTATTGAGAACAAAAATTAATTGGCTTGAGGCGAGGAATGGCGATTCCAGGAAGATTTAAGAACTTGCAGCTATTAAAAGAGGATTTAGATTGGAGCAGGAGACCGTTATTATGAGAACACAATGTAATTGCTTTTGGAAAAGTGTGACCCACAGACCGCTATTTTTCCTTGCAAAAGGATTCCAATAACTACTGAAAATTTGCTATGGCCTTGGTGAACCCTGGCCAATTGGAAACTATGACCAGCCATAAAAGAAAATCAGTAGATAACAATGGTCGTGGATTGGATTTACACTTGGTTTTCCAAAATTAAGTTTTACATTTTTTTTTAGAAAAATTGGAAGTTATCTATGTGTTGAAAGCCCATGGCGATGACCTGCCATCAAAAAGTCAGAGGACCTATGGCGAATGCGAAACGATGGCCAGTTATTAAAAATCAGGGGGTGAAAATAGTACCTGGGTTTCCGTTATCAAGATTTTCTAAAATTTTATTGAGAACAAAAATTAATTGGCTTGAGGCGAGGAATGGCAATTCCAGGAAAGATTTAAAAACTTGCAGCTATTAAAATAAATTTTAGATTGGAGCAGGAAGCCATTATTATGAGAACACAATGTAATTGCTTTTGGACAAGTATAACCCACAGGCTTCAATTTTTGACTGAAAAAATGATTCCAGTTACTACTGAAAATTAGCTACGGCCTTGGTGATCCCTTGCCAATGGTAAACGATGACCAGCCATAAAAGAAAATCAGTAGATAATAATGGTCGTGGGTGGATCGCATTTAGATTCGCTTTTTCACAATTAAGTTTTACCACTTTTTTTAGAAAAATTGGAAGTTGTCTATGTGTTGATAACCCATGGCGATGACCAAAGTCAGAGGGAAACAATAAAACTTAATCGGAGCTGAATTCGGAATTTTATTGAGAACAAAAATTAATTGATTTGAGGCGAAGAAATTCCATGACGATTTAAAAGCTTGCAGTTATTAAAGTAAAATAAACTACAGGCTTATATTTTGGCAAGAAACCTTTATCTTTCGAAGAACATATAATTGCTCTTGAACGGATAATGTCCAAAAGGACCCTGAAGAAGTGTAACCCACAGACTTCTATTTTTAGCTGTTTACAAAATGTTATTGAGAAGAAAAATGAAGTTTCTACTTTTTTAGATTGGAGTTGGTTTTAAACCGACAACGAATTTTCCACGGCGACTTCTAAATTTTCAGCTATTAGAGGGTGAGGTATCTAGGATCTCGGATTGGATCAAGAATTCAACAAACAATTTGAGGGTTTCAAAATTTTATTGACAACAAAATATACTTTTTTTAATGGATAAAGAATCTCCAAAGATGTTCCAAGATCTTGCCCGACAAATCATTTATCGGGAGTCTATGAATACGACAAAAAATTTTTTTCCAAGATTTCGACTTCCTTAATAAAGTTGATCAAGGTATTTAAAATTTTATTGGGAACAAAAATTAATTGATTTTTGACTTGAAATTAATTCTCCAGAGCGACTTAGAAGCTTGCAGCTATCAGAGTGTGAGGAGGCTATGGCTTTGGATTGGATCATGAACTCGGCAAACAAATTGAGGGTTTCAAAAATTAATTTGTTTAAGATGGATATTGAATCTCCCACGACGTTTGAAGATATGGTCCTACAAATAATTTCTTGGAAGTTTCAAGATCTTGCCCGACAAACAATTTATCGAGAGTCTATGAAGACGACCGAAAAATATTCCCAAATTAAGGTTGGATTTGGGCTTCCACAACAAAGTTGATCAAGGTATTTAATATTTTATTGAGAGCAAAAATTAATTGATTTTTGACTTCAAATGAATCCACCAAGACGGAATAGAAGCTTGCAGCTATTATAGTGTAAGGAGGCTATGGTTTTGGATTGGATCATGAACTCAGCAAACAAATTGAGGCTTTCAAAAAATAATTTGTTTTAGATGGATATTGAATCTCCCACGACGTATGAAGAGATGGCCTTACAAATAATTTCTTGGAAGTCTTTGTAGGTTTCTGAAAAAGACACCCAAAGTATACTAAAATTTTGGTTACATTATCAAGATTTCCAAAATTTTATTAAGAACAAAAATTAATTAGTTTTAACAGTCAAATAATATCCCAGGACAGTTAAAGATTTCAACTATTAGAATGCAAGGAAACAATGGTTCCACATTAAATCTGGAATAGAGCAATTAAATGAGGACTTTCAAAATTTTATTGAGAATTATTATTTTCAAATTTTTTTGGGGAATCGGTTGAAGAATCTCGCCGGACAAATTCAAAGATTTCAGCTATTGGAGAGCAAGGAAAATAGTGAAACTGGAATTTACATAACAAATAAGGATTTTCAATTTATTTTTGTCAGTCGGTTTTGGACGGATTACAAATTTGCTACGGCGACGGATGAACGTGCCAGTGACAAACAGTTTACCGGGCTACTATACAGATGACTAAAAAGGAGTCCCAAAAGACTCTTGGATTCGGTTAATATGTTTAAGACCTTCAAAGTTTTATTGAGAACAAAAATTAATTGGGTTTAAATGTCAGGTGGATCTCTTAGGGAGGCTTAAAAGCTTGAAGCTATTGGAGTGTAGGGAGGTGTGGATAAAAATTAATTGATTTTTGATGGACAATAAATCTTCCAACTCAAAATATACCAGGTTCACAAAGTGCTCCAACATGACGGCCAGGAATTGCAAGATAATATCTTGTCAATTGTTGCGCTTGCCCGGGAACCACTTTGTTCGAAACGCCTTTCTCCTTAAAAAAGCTTAAGTCTTCACATAATGAAGATAATGAAACTTCTACGATGATTGAAGTGCTTGGTCGACAGACAGTATATGGGGAGACCTTGCTGACGACTGAACAAGAGTTCCAAAGGACGCTTAGACTTGGCTTACATAGTCAGGATATTAAAAGTTTTATTGGGAACAAAAGTTAAATAGATTTGGACGTGAAGTAAATCTCCCAGGGCGAAATTATATTCAGAACAAAAATTAACTTGTTTTCGATGCTTGATGAACCTCCCGGCGCAAAATATACCAGGTTCAGAACGTGCTTCAACAAGACAGCCAGGAATTGAAAAATGATTTCTTATATATTGTTGCGCTTGCCCTGGAGCCAATCTATTTGTTATTCGAAATGCTATTTTCCTCATAGAGACAAAGTCATAACAAAATGAAGGACTCAATGGGTTCTCCCAAGGCCAAAAAGAGTTATAGCTGCTTATAACTGCTACATTGTGTCTGAAATGGACCACTCCTATATAGGAGAGAAAAAATAGCTTCCCTACATGACCTGCGAAAATATCTCAGTGAATAATCAATATAGTCTGCAATAGAAGTATAAATACTCCCTCATTTTTAGAGGCAATATCGGGTATTCTGACTAGTCCACAAAATATGCTGTAGCATTATAATGGATTGGAATCTCTCCTATACATGGGAACCAAAATAGGTTCTTTTCTAGACCTACAAATCAGGTATTATCACCAGTCCACAAAATATGCTGTTGCATTATCCGGATTGGAATCTATCTTCTGCATGGGAAACAACATAGCTTCTTTCTTTGCCCTAGGAAAATATTCCTCATTCAGACACTGGTTAAACAATATTGCCAGGATTTTAAATATAACCTCTCCTGCTTCATCGGCTGTATTGACCCAATACGCAGACCCTATACATCCCATGTCAATGGAGCTCCATCAAAAATTAACTTTAAATGCAAATATGTTAAATTAATTTTTTAACATATTAATCTACG